ATGTGGAAAGGAACAAAGGTGGGAAGAAGGGGGAAAGAGTGAAAGGGAAAGAGTGGAAGGGGAAGGTGGAAGTGGAGAAGATGGGGGCAGAGGGTGGAAGATGGGTGAAGATAGAAGATGGAGAGGCAGGAAAGGGAAAATATGGGGGTGGCATGTAGTAGGGAAGAAGTAAGAAAGCAGGGAGGAGGAGAAGGTGGGAGTGCAATAGGAGGAACATAGGGTGACGGGGTGGAATGGGTATAAAGGTGGGAGGAAAGACAGAGTGAAACATGGGGAAAGATGAGGGCACAGGTGGGGGGAGAAGACTGGGGAAAGAATGGGGGGAATAAGGTTGGGAAAGAGGAGGGTCAGATGTGGGGGAAGGGCAGAGGAGAGGAAGGAGGCTGAGATGGAGTCAGGAATGGGGAAAGGCAAAGGGGAACTGGGGAAAAGCCAGGGAGGGGGTGAAGATGGTGATAGGGCAAAGTGGGGGGGGGGGGGGGGGGAGGAGGGATGGAGAGGGAAAGATGGGGTAAAGGGGAAAATGGTGGAACTGTGGAGGGGGAAGGGAAGAAAGGTCTGGGGAAAGATGGAGGGGACAAAGCTGGAGGGGAGGACTGGAGTAAAGACAAAGTGGAGCAAGGGGGAGAAGAAAGGTGGTGTGCCCCCTTTCCCTGTCTTTCCCCTTCCCTCCTGTATCCCTCCCACTCTGCTTTCCTCCCATCTTTTCCCCTTTCCGCCACCATCTTCCCACTTTATTCCTCGGGAATGATAGCGGGGTGCGGGTGGAGGATGAAAGATGGGGAGGGTTGATGGGGATAGAGGGAGGAAGGATGGGACAAAGGGGTGAATATGGGGACATGGAGGGAAGATGAGGGGTAAAACAGGTATGATGGGGTTGGGAGAGGGAGGGAGCAGAGGGAGAGGGAAAAGATAGAGTAAGGAGGGAAAGATCAGGAGCGAAAGATTCGGATAGGGGCAAGAAAGATGGGGCAGGCGGAGAAGGCAGATGGTGGAAATTGAGGGAAGATCAGGAGTGGGATGGAGGTTCCGACTGGGGGTGGAATTGAGAGAAGATGGGATGTGGGGGAGGACAAGCGGGGGAGGGGGAATTAAGGTAGAGAAGGTGGGAGGAACAGTGGGAGAGTCAGAGTAGGGAAGGAGAGGCAAGATGGGAGAACAGGGGAAGATGGGGAAGAAGGGGAATAACTGGAGGGGTTGAGAGGGGAAATGGGATGAAAGACAAGTGGGTAGCAAAAGATGGAGAGGGATGGAAGTAGAGATGGCAGGAAAATCAGCAGGAAAGACAGGGTCAGGGGAAACACATGAGGGAGGCATTGGAAGAATGGGAGTGTGGCCAGATCGTGGGGCAGAGGAAGGAAGAGTGGGGGTGAGACCAGGAAAGAGAAAGACGGGCATTGAGGGAGCAGGGCAAAGACGGGGTAAGGGAGGGGAGTGGGAAGGGGGCAATGGGAGGTGGGGTGTGGTCGAAATCTTGGGCCAAGGGGTAGTGGAAGACATTAGCGGTGAGCCTGAAATCTGCATGGAATGGGAAACAGTGAGGTGAATGGGCTTGGAAACTGCAGATGATGGGTCCCATGGTGCAAGGATGAGGGGAAGGGAGGGGAACTTTCTGAAAACTCCTGCAGTGTGGGTATGAGGCACCAGGATCTTGTTGTGGAACTTCCTCCGCCACCATCTTGGGAGTGGGCATCATGGTGGAGCAAGGAGGCCAACTGACTGCCATTTTGTGTCCTATGTCTGAGCGAGGTGCAAAGTGTTGTTGCAGGTACAGGAGTATAGAGTTATTAAAAATGACAATCTGACTTTTCTCATTCAGGTTTCCAATAGTTGGACCACAGCATGGGCATTGCAAGTGTATATTTAAATACTTCTTAAATATTATCAGGCAGTGAGTTCTAGATTCCCAGCACCTCTTGGTGAAAAAGTTTTTCCTCACAACTGCTTCGTATCTTCTGCCCCTTAGCTTAATTCTATGCCGTCTGGTCATTGATCATTCGATTAATAGAAAAGTGTCTTCCTGTCCTACCCTACTTATGCCCCTCATAATTTAACACATCACAATCATGTCCCCCTTCAATCTCCTCTGCTCTAAGGAAAACAACCCCAGGGTGTCCAATTTCTTTTTGTAACTGAAAGGTTCCAGCCCTGGTAACATCCTGGTGAATCTCCTCTACACCTTCTTCAATGCTATCCCATTCCTCCTACAATGTTGAATCCAAAACTACCCTTGCTGTGGCCTAACCAACATTTTATAGTTTCATTACCTCCGTCCTCTTAAACTCTATGCCTTGACTAATTAAGGTCATGTGCCTTCTTAACCACGACCTCACCAATCCCAACATCCACAGGCACTGGTTTACATGCATACCAAGGCCCCTGTGACCTTCGGTGCTTCCCAGGGCCCTACCATTAATCACGTATTCCTTGCCTCATTTATCTTGTCCAAATGCATCATCCAGATTGAATTCCACTTGCTACTGATCAGCTCATCTATATCTTCTTGTAGTCTGTGCTATCCACTTCACTATTTACTACCCCACTAATTTTTCTATTGTCTGCAAACTTACATTCTACAAGGAAAAGTCATTGATATAAGTCGCAAACAGCAAAGGCCTTAATATTGAACTCTGTCGGACCCTACTGGACACAGACATCCTACTGGAAAAATAGCACTGATCAGTCCATCTGACTATGAGGCCAGGTTCAAGTCCCAGTTGCTCCAGAGTTTTCTTGAACAGATTGATCGAAAATATCTATGTTAGGTTGGAAACAAAAACTCCACACAATATTCTATGTGTGGTCTCACCAAGGCCCTGCATAACTGTAGGTAGGAACACATCGTTACTCCTGAACATAAATCTTCTTGAAATATAGGCCAACATACCATTTACCTTGTTCATTGATAATTGTAGTTGCCTCTCTACTTTCGTTGGCTCGTGCACAAGGACACCCATATTTCCCACAAACAAGAAAATTGTCTAGAACACCCTGAAGCACTCTTGCAGCCTCGTCTCATCTGAGTCTTTTCATGAATAGCTGGGGCCCAAGCTCTAATCCATTCCATACATCAAGAGTCACTGCCTGGCACTGGAAAAAAACTTACTGATTCCCACACACTGTTTCTGGTCTGTCATCCAATTCTCAATCTGTGTATATTAGTATATTACCTACTAATCCCATGTGCTTTAATTTTGTCATGGAGTCTTATTTTTCTTTATTCATTCACAGGGTGAGGGTGTCACTGGGTAGGCCAGCATTTATTGCCCATTCCTAATTGCCCAGAGGGCAGTTACGAGTCAACCACATTGCTGAGACTCTGGAGTCACATGTAGGCCAGACCAGTAAGAATGGCAGTTTCCTTCACTAAAGGACATTAGTGAACCAGATGGATTTTCCCGACAATCGACGATGGATTCATGGTCATCATTCGGTTCTTAATTCCGGATATTTATTGAATTCAAATTCCACCATCAAACCCAGGTCACCAGAACATTACCTCGGTCTCTGGATTAACAGTCCAGCGATAATACCACTACGCTATTGCCTCTTACGTGAGACCCCATCAGTCTGCTTGAATTCCAAATAAACCACATCAACTGGTTCTGACTTATCCATTCTCATCCTCAAAAAATTCCTGTAGATTAGTTAAGCATGATTTCCCTTTCATAAACTCATGATAACTTTGTTTAACCTATTAATGCTTCCTAAGAGTTGAATTATTACATCTTCCAAAAGGGCACTGATACAGTCCCACACAACAGATTTGAGGAATGTGATAGATCATTGAATCCCTATTGTATGGAAATAGGCCATTCAGTACATGCCGACCCTCTGAACACATCCCACCTACACCGCCCTAACCTATTCCTGTAACCCTGCATTTCCCATGACTAATCCACTTAGTTTGCACATCCCTGAACACTATGGGCAATTTAGCATGGCCAATCCACCTAAACTGCACATCCTTTAGACTGGGGAGGAAACTGGAGCATTTGGTCTATGGTACACATGTGCAAAGTCCATACAGACAGTCACCTGAGGGTGGACTTGAACACACAGCATAATAAAGCATACAGTATTCTTGGTTTGATTAATAATGATATAGAGAAGAAAAGCAGGGATGTTATGATCAGGCACTAGTTAGAACTCAGCTGCAGTGTTGTTTATAGTATCATACTTTAAGTATGTGAATGCATTGGGAAATATTCATTTTAAGCAACACCCATTGAGAGTGTTTCTATCTCCACCAATGATGCTCAATGGTAGCAGTCTTACCATCGTACTGCAGAAATGCACCAAGTATTCTCAGACGTAACCTTCCTGCCCACAGGGACAAAGAGAATGAATATATGCGAACAGTGCCACCTGCAAATTTCTCTCCAAGCCAGTCACCATCCTGACTTGGAAATATATTGTTGTTCTTTCAGTGTTGCTGGGTCAAAAATCCTGCAACTCCCTCCCTAATAGCATTGTTGGTGTACTTACACCAATCGGACTGTAGTGGTTCAAAAAGGAAATTCACTACCACCCTAAGAGCAAAAAGAGATGGTCAATAAATGCAGACCCAGCTAGCAACACACACATCCCATAAGTGAATTTAAGTAAAACAGATTGATAACCAGACAGCACTGTTTTAAAGTGTTTTGCAAAAGAAGCAAATCTGAGCTGAGAGAAGTCTTTTTTTCATAGCAAGTTGTTAGGGACTGGAATACATTTCTGGGAAATGTGGTGGAGACAAGTGCAACTGAGGCATTCAAGAGGGATTTAGAAGATTGTTTAAAGAGAAACAATGTGCAGGGTTACAGGGAACAGGTAGGAGTTTGGCACTTTGTCTCAACGTTCAGAGAGCCAGTGCGGATACAATGGGCTGAATGACCTGATTCTGCACCATAAAAATTCTGCAACTCTGAAATACCTGACAGATCCTTTTTAACCCAGAATTAAATGTCTGTTGTATGGTTGTCCCAGCAGATAAACAATCTTTTCATACATACCAATGTATTTTAAAGAGATTTATTGTAAATTAGGTAACAGCTGAAGTAGCTTCAAATGATAGATTAGGGAGTGTCACAAAACACATGTTACATCTTCATGATAACTAAATCATTTTAAGACTTAAAAGTTAACCTTTAAACCTCCAGTAAGGAAGAGATCACAGTTTGACATGAACCTCTGATTTCACTGCACTTTCCTAGCATTCTCCATCGGACTCTAAACACAGTTGTAAGGAAACCTTCTGATCTGTGTCTATGAATTCTGAACCACAGCAGAGAGGAGCTGGGCCATAATTCTCACACATCCCAGGTTTAATCCACACACAACCATTTCCGTCAATGAACTGTGATGAGAGGACCAAAATGTAATTTGTATCTCTTGATGTGGCCTTGAAGGATTGTATCCAGACAAAAGTTCTTTTCCAGCCAAACAGTCTTTCACTCAAGCTGTCCTGTCCGAAGAAGACTTGAAACATAAAGAGTTAACTAATCTCGAATGATGCCAAACCTGAATTCCTTCAGAAACTTTTACTTTTTATTTCAGATCTTCTGCTGGATTTTCCCTTTATACTATTATCCTTTTTGAGCTCCATCCAGGAGGAATAGACAAATCATGGCAGTGTACTTCAAATGAAATTGTTTCACTTCACTTATCCAGAATGTTACAATCTAGTTAAGGTATTAAATTCAGCACAAACACAAGAACATTTTCCAACTATCAGAATGAACCCAGTTCAGTTCTGGATTAGATTAACCTCAGCAATACCAGCAGTATCAAAGCCCTGCTGACTGTGAATATGCTGATGTCTCAGTAGTTTGTTTGACTGAGCAAAGCCCTTGCCACACACGGCGCAGGTGAATGGTCTCTCTCCAGTGTGACTGCGTCGGTGGGACAACAGGTTCCATTTGCTTTTGAATTTCTTTTCACAGTCGGGGCATTGAAAGGGTTTCTGGTCACTGTGAACTAGTTGGTGTGTGTTTAGGCTGGATAAATGAGTGAATGCTTTCCCACAAACAGAGCAGACAAATGGTCTTTCGCCAGTGTGTATGCGCTGGTGTGTCAGCAGGTCGGATGCAACAGTGAACCTCTGCCCACACTCCGAGCAGGTGAACGGCCTCTCCCCAGTGTGAAAGCGCTGGTGTCTAAGGAGGTGTGTTGTCAGAATAAATCCCTTCTCACACACAGAGCAGGTGAATGGCCTCTCCCCTGTGTGCATGCGCTGGTGTCTCAAGAGGTTCTTCTTGCTCTTAAAGCTCTTCTCACATTCAGGACATTTAAATGGTCTGTGATCAGAGTGAACTCGCTGGTGGGTCAGCAGATTTGATGAGGCGTTAAATCGCTTTCCACAGTACAGGCAGAGGAATGGCCTCTCGCCTGTGTGAACCCGCTGGTGTCTGTGGAGTGTGCATGACTGGGTGAATCCCTTCCCACACACTGGGCAAGTGAACGGTCTCTCCCCGGTGTGACTACGCCGATGGGTTTCCAGTTGGCATGGGTAACTGTATCCTTTCCCACAGTCTTCACAAATCCACGGCTTTGCTATGGGATGGGTGTCCTTGTGCCTCGCCAGGTTGGATGATCAGTCAAAGCCTTGTCGATGGATTCTAGAAGGATGAGGGATCTATTGAAGCTTACAGAATACTAGGATTCCTGGATACAGTGGAAGTAGAGAAGTTGTTTCCACTAGAGGAGAGACTAGGAGCCGAGGGCAGAGCCTCAGAGTCAAGGGACTACCCTTTCGAACTGAATTGACAAGGTATTTCTTCTGCCAGCGAGTGGTTACACCGTGGAAGCCATTGCTGCAGAGAGCTGTGGAGGCCAAGTTATTGAGGTGCACTTAAGACAAAGATAGATAGGTTCTTGATTGGCAAGGGGATCAATGCAGGAGAATGGGGTTGAGAAACATACCAGCCATGACTGAATACTGAAGCAGACTCGATGGGCTGAATAGCCTAATTCTGCTCCCGTTTCAAATGCTCTTATGGTTCTCAAACATATGGAACAAATGTACAGTCTCTTCCTCTGATTTATGGCACACTGGGTAACTGGTTACAGCTCTTTCCACAGTCAGTGCACTGTAACATCCTCACTCTGGTGTAAGTGTCTCGGTGCTTTGAGTCACACAGATATCTGAAATCTTTTCCCAGTAACAGAGCAGGCAAATAACTCTCCCTTCTTTATTCAAAGACTGATGATCTTCGGGTCCTGATGAGTCAAGTGACTGGTAAATCTCAATGTCACATTTGATTAATGTTTTTGATCTGGAGATGCTCCCTTTCCAATATCCTGTAAAAGAATTTATCAAACCCATCAATTCAAGTACAAGATAAAAATTCAGAAGAAACAAATCCTGTTGTTTTCTGCTTTTGTTCTCCCAAAGCCAGAAATCCTGGTCCTACTTTTTCCCTCTCCCTGGGCTGAAATAAAAAATCATTACATCATTGTCACCCTTTCTTCCTCCACTCTCAGTTTAAACCCTACCTCTATTCAAATCTGCATCCCATATGGACACTAAGAATAAAGTCAGTTAACTATTTCAGCTGAAGCACAATGATCCCCCCTCCATCATTAAAGTCAGAATTGGAGATGTTTGCTAATGACTGCATAACATTCAGAGCATTTGGAACCCCTTCAATACTGAGGCAGTCCATGCACAAATGCAGCAAGAACGAGACAATATCCAGCCTTGGACTAACAAGTGGCAAGTGACATGTGCACCTCACGAGTGTCAGGTGATCATGAGCTCCAACAAAAGAAAGAGAATCCAACCATCCCCTCTTGACTTTAAATGGCATCATCGTCATTGAAGCCCCCACAATAAACAGACTCGGGATTATCATTGAGCGGGAACTGAATTGGACTAATCATATAAGAAATGTGGCTACAAATGCAGTTCAGAGACTAATAATCCTAGAACAAAGAACAGTACAGCACGGAACAGGCCCTTCAGCCCACCAGGCCTGCACCAACACATGGCGCCTTTCTAAACTAAAAGCCTTTTGCCTCTACATGGTCTATATTCTATCACTTCCTGTGTATTCATGTATCTGTTTCTACCATCTCCTCTGACAGCGCATTCCAAGTTCTTACCACCTTGTGTAAAAAACTTGCCTGCCACATCTCTTTTAAACTTACCCACTTTTACCTTACATCTATGTCCACTTCTAACTGACATTTCTACCTGGAAAAAGACTCCAATTGTCCATTTTATCCATGCCTCACATAATTTTGTAAACTTCTAGCAGGTCATTCCTTAGCCTCTAAATTCAAGTGAAAACAAACCAAGTTTGTCCAACCTCCACTTATAGATAATACCCTCAAAACTAGGCAACATCCTGGTAAACCTTTCTGTACCCTCCAAAAAGCCTGCACATCTGGCCGGTAGTGTGGTGACCAGAACTATTTGCAATATTCCAAATATGGTCAAATGAAAGTTATATACAAATGCAAAATGATATCAGTTTTATACTCTATGCCTGACCAACGAAGACAAACATGCCATATGCCATCTTGATCACCTCATCAAATTGTGCTGCCACTATCAGGGAAATGTGACAATAAAGCTAATTCATTCATTCATGGACATGTATGGCTAGATCCTTCTGTATCACCATCCACCATGTCTTTCTTCTCTGTTAATACCAATGCAAAATATTCTTTAAGAACCTCACCTGCTTCCTCAGCTCCAGTCATAAATTCCCTCCTTTATCGTTGACTGGGCCTACCATTTCCCTAGCTACCCTCTTGCTACATGTATATGTATAAAACGCTTTGGGATTTTCTTTACTCCTGTTTGCCAAGGACATTTTGTGGCATCTATTAACCCTAATTCATTGTTTGAGTTCTTTCCGACTATCTTTAAAGGCTTTTTCTGTCTTCGTTTTCCTAAACCTGGGTATGCCTCCTTTCTCTTTTTGACCAAGTACTCAAATTCTCTTGTCATTCCAAGGTTCCTGAATCTTGCTATCCTTATCCTTGATTTTCACAGGAACATGCTGGTCCTGAACTCTAATCAACTGGTCTTTAAAAGATTCCAGAGAGTCAGATGTGAATTTACGCTCAAACAGCTTCCCCAATCTACATTCCAGTTCCTGCTTAATATTGTTGTAGATAGCCTTTCCTTAGGTTAGCACTTTCACCCAAGGACTGCTCGTATCTTTATGCATAAGTAATTTAAAACTTATGGAATTATGGTCACTGTTCCCAAAATGGTCCAGTACTAAAATTTCAATCACCTGGCCTGGCATATTCCCCAACATTAGATCCAGCATGCTCCTTTTGAGTTACACCATTCACATAATGCTTCAATGATCCTGCAGTGAATAAGTCACCTCATGATTCCCCCAAAACTTGTCCAGTACTTGCAAGGCAAAAGTTAGGAATGTGATGGAATACTCCCAACTTGCCTGGATGAGTGCAGCTTCAACATCTCTCCAGAAGCTTGACACAATCCAAGACACAATAGTCTGTTTGACTGGCACCACATCCACAAACATTCAACTCCTCCACAACTGACACTGAGTCACAGCAGTGTACACCATCTTCAAGATGAACTGCAAAAATTCATCAAGGCTCCTTAAGCAGCACCTTTCATAACTGCTCCCAACTGGGAGGACAAGGACAGCAGATATTTAGTAACACTACCAAGTTCCTCTCCAAACCACTCACCATCTAGACTTGAAAACATAACATTGTTCCTTAGTGTCACCAGGTCAAAATCCTAGAATTCGCTCCCTGATAGCATTCTGGGTGTACTGCAGCAAATGGACTGAGAGAAGACAGTTCAAGATGGCCACTCACCACTATCTTCTCTAGAGATGGGCAGTAAATGCTTGCCAAACCAGCAACATCCTTTTCTCTCTTGGTCACAGATACTCTATTTGATCTATTCTGGCCCACATGTTACCATATTACTGCAGCTCAATTTGGAAGCCTGCCCTAATGATTATTGTGGACATTCTCACAGTCTCTCTTACTGTTTTAATTTCATTGCACATGGTGTCAGAAGAATGTGAAGACAGAAAAACTTAAATCGAATAGCTAATTACGATTTGGCATACAGAATTTGCTTCATCATAACCCGACAATCAACAGTCTTTGATTGGAAGCAAAGGTGCATGTTTACAGTGTGAAGAAACCAAGTGCGTGTTCTGTGCTTAAACTGCAACTCGTCATCTTGGACTGGGAAACACACCAGTGCAGCCAGAATGGGGAAGAGGCCATTTACTTATTCCAAGTCCAGAAAGGGATTATTCATGACCTAACCTCACTGAACAGCAAAAATGCATTCAGAGTGACTGCAAGGGCTGGATTCTTGCTGCTGTGAATCAAACCTACAACTGAACCATAACTGGAAGTAAAATGCTGAAGATCTGAAAAAAAAAGACAAAAAAAATCAGAGAAACTCAGCAGAACTGGCAGCATTTGAGGAGAAACAGATAGGGAACACCCAAAATATCTGCCAGACCTTGCTGAAATTCTCCTGTATTGTCTGTTTTCACAGAAAATTTGGATGGGCTTCTTTCTGTTGATACTGACAATCACTGAAACTGGGGTCGAATCTAATAAATATTCTGGATAAAAACTGAAAGAACTGCAGATGCTGGAGATCAGAAACAAAAAAAAACAGAAATTGCTCAAAAAGCTCAGCAGGTCTGGGAGCATCTAATATTCTGGAAATTGTTTTATTTTCCTTATCACTTTCATTCTTCAAAAAACTCATCTTAAAGTATATAAAGTATGGAACAGTGATTTACTTGTACTTCCTGTGATAAACTGCAGTGACTGGTTAGGATCCAGCTTACTCTACAGACTGGGCTGAGGACTTTGTGGTAAACCCAATTTGGTCTGGAAGCTTAAGAATGGGATACTTATCTTTTTGTCAGTTCAAAATGTCCACCGAACTCCCATTCTGGCCTCGCTATCCTCGGCCTAGCACAGTTCCAGTGAAGCTCACTGGCAGGGGAGACAGATCCAAGGTTTCATGTGTGCTGATATTTCAGAGTGATAGCAAGGAAAGCAAACTGGGCTTCACATAGAATTTTACGGAGGACAGAAGACAGAGATTACATCACATCTTCCTAATGCTCTTCTAAGGCAACAGCTAGCGAACATTTCTTTTTATCGTACTTCAGCAAGGATACACAGATATAGTTGTTGGGACGGGCTAATGTTGTGACTGTGGGAGGTGGTGTTGGGATGATCCCTGGACTAATACATACACAAGATCAAGTGCATTTTGGAGGTAGATATTTGGGTGAGAGTGGTGGTGCAGCTGAGGTGGTGGTCTTGGGTTGGTCCCCCTTGTTTCACACAAAGGGTGAAGTGCAATTTGGAGGCGCAAATGTGAGTGGTGGTGTGGGTAATCTAGGTGACAGAATGATATTGGGCTGGCCCCTGTATCCACACACAAAGGACTGATATAGTTTGGAGGCAACTATTGACGTGGGGGTGGTGACACAGGCCATGGGTAGTGTTGGGGTGGTGTTGGTGATGTGGTTATTGGGATGGTGTTGGGCTGGTCCTTGTCCCCAGACACAGAGGACCAAGTACAACTTGAAGGCAGATATTGGGGTGGAGGCATTTTTCACTGGTTCCTGTGCATTTGCACAGAAGATCAAACACAGTTTGGGGGTGGAGAATGGGATGGAGTTGGTGAGGTGGCTGAGGAGGTGGTGGTTTCGAAATCATCCCTGCAGCCACACATAGGATCAAGTGCTGTTTGGTGGCAGGTTTTGGGGTGGGGGTGGTGATGTCTATGAGAGGTGGCATTAGGCTGGACCCCAAAACCACAAACAGGTACAGTTTGGAGGCAGGTAGAGTAGATGTTGCAATGCTCTCTGTACCTACACAGAGTTTAGAGCCATGCAGTCATACAGCACAAAAACAGACCCTTCTGTCCAACTCATACATGCCGATCAGGTTTCTGAAACTGAACTAGTCCTATTTACCTGCATTTGGCCCATAGCCTGCTAAAACCTTCCTGTCCACCTACCTGTCCGAATGTCTTTTAAATCTTCTAAGTGTCCCTGCCTCAACCACTTCCTCTGGCAGCTCATTCCAGAAATGCACCACCCTCTGTGAAAAAAATTGCTCCTCAGGTCCCTTTTAAATCTTTCCCCTCTCACTTTAAACCTATGCCCTCTAATGTTAGACTCCTGTAACCTAGGGAAAAATCCTTGGCCATTCTTTTCTTTTATATTCATTCAGAGCATGAGGGTACCACTGGCTGGGCCAGTATTTATTACCCATTCCAGAGAGCAGTTAAGATTCAACCATATTGTTGTCGGTCTGGAGTCATAGGTAGGCCAAACCAGATAAAAGTGTCAGTTTTCTTTCCTAAAAGACATCAGTGAATCAGAACGGTTTTTCCTGATGATTGGCATTGGATTCAGGGTCATCATTAGACTCGTAATTCCAGATTTTGATTTAATTTACCATCTGCCTTTTGATAGGATTCAAACCTGGGTCCCCAGACTATTACTTGGGTCTCTAGATTAACAGCCCAGCAATAATACCATTCGCCCATTGCTTCCCCTTGTCATCTTATCAATGCCCCTCATGGTTCTAGAAACCTCTGTAAGATCACCCCTCACCCTCCAGGGAAAAAAAAATCCTTATAACTCAAACCTTCTAGTCTCACGAACATCCTTGTCAATCTTTTTTGTACCCTTTCTAGAATCAAGTGCAGTTTGGAGGAGGATATTGGGATGGAATGGTGGTGTGGGGAGTGTCTACATGGTCCCTGTACCCACATACATAGGCTCAAGTGCAGTCTGTGGGTAAGGCCAAAATTAAATGGGAACCGCGCAGGCGCACTACGTCCAGAGTCAGGCAGCCGAAAGGAGCTGAAATTACAGCAGTTTTCCCTGGATTCCGCCTTCCCCGGGCACTGTGGACGCAACCGCTTTTCATTCCGGCACAGCAGCCTACAGTCGGTATTCAAAAAAGGAACACTTCTATTTCTCCTCCGCTGCTACCCAATCGCACTCACCGAATCCTCCGACCGTTCCGCTTCAGAGACACTGCGCAAACAGATCCGCAGCGCGCATGCTTCCCTCGCCCCCCGACACCGCTTGCGCACGCAGCTCCTGTTCAGGAGATAGGGCATATTCTCGTCGGCCTGAATACTGGGTAAAACAGCCTCCATTGATGTTGCCTGCCGTTAAATCATAATTTCAGTTTGGCGACATGATTCCGATTCGAACTGTGGGTGCAGGTATACAATTATTGTTACACAATATCATACACGGGCCCTACACCATGTTTATATCCCAAAAGTAGTCGGCATTCAAGAGCAATGAACACTTTGCATTGGTCTTCACAATGGTAAGGGCAATGCGGGTTTAGGTATCAAAGCGGAGAGCTGTAAAATATTAGAAGAAATGGACACACAGTTTACCAGCCTTAAATGAGATGCAGGCCTGGATGAAAGAAGTACATGGTACAAAAACAAAGTTGCTGGAAAAGCTCAGCAGGTCTGGCAGAAAGAAGTACATCACCACGTTGTCAAGGGCAACTGGGATACACGATGAATGCTGGCCCAGCCAGTGGCACCCACAATCCGTGAGTAAAACATGGATTCTAGTCTGTTGTGGCAAAGGTTTTAGAGTAGATTTGTAGCTCGGGTTGTGGATGTTGCGGTCGGTTGGCTCACCGAGCTGGTTCGTTGTTCCGCAGATGTTTCATTACCCTGCTGGGTAACATCATCAGTGCAGCCTCCGATGAAGTGCTGTTGTGTTTTAGAATCATAAAATCACAGAATCCCTACTGTGTGGAAACAGGCCGTTTGGCCCAACAAGTCCACACCGACCTATCCCCCTATAACCCACTTAATCGACACATCCATGAACACTATGGGCAATTTAGCATGGCCAATCCACCTAGCCTGCACATCTTTGGACTGTGGGAGGAAACCGGAGCACCTGGAGGAAACCCACGCAGACACGGGGAGAATGTGTGAACTCCACACAGACAGTCGCCCAAGGGTGGAATCAAACCCTGGTCCCTGATGCTGTGAGGCAGCAGTGCTAACTACTGAACCACCGTGTTTTCCCACCTGTCATTTAAACTCTGGTGTCCATTGAGCTGGATTACCTCACTTCCGTTTTCCCCGGATTCCCCCGCCCCCAGGCACCATGGACGCAACCACTTTTCATTCTGACTCAGCAGCCTACAGTTGGTATCCAAAAAAAGAACAGTCCTATTTCTCTTCCACTGCTGCCCTCTCCCCTCCCTCCTACCGGCTCCAGCTGCCCAATCGCACATCCCTGATCCTCCGCCCTTTCAACCATCCTTCGCCAATGGGGTGTATATGGGGTCTAGCTCTATGTGTTTATTGATGGCTTTCTTAGTGGAGAACCAGGCTTCGAGGAATTCCTGTGCTTGTCTCTGCTTCGCCTGTCCCAGGATCCTGGTGTTGTCCCAATCGAATGGTGGTTTTCCTTATCTGTATGGATGGAGATGAGGGAGTATTGGTTGTGTCTTTTTTGTTGCCAGTTGATGTTAGTGTACCCTTGTAGTTAATTTTCTTCATGTTTGTCCAATGTAATATTTGTCGCAGTCTCTGCATGGAATCTTGTATATGACGTTGGTCCTGTCCATAGTGTGTAGTGGGTCTTTGGTCTGGGTGAGCAGTTGGCGTAGAGTTGATGTGGGTTTGAGTGCTACTCTGATGCCTAGTGGTCATGGGAGTCTTGTGGTATTCCTAGAAGCCTGGTTCTCCACTAATAAAACCATCAAGAAACACATGGAGCTAGACCCCCTATACGCCCCATTGCCAAGGAAAACCAGAAGTGCAGGAATTCAGCTCAATGGACACCAGGGTTTAAATGACAGGCGGGAAAACACAACAGGGCTTCATCAGAGGCTACACTGATGATGTTACCCAGCAGGGTAATGAAACGTCTGCAGAACAACAAACCAGCTAGGTGAGCCAACCAACCGCAAGATCTAAATGTGCATATCCGTAGATCTCTGAAGGGCATGGCAGGTAGATAAGGTAGTTAAGAAGGCATCAGTGATACTGTGTGCAATACTGGTCACCACATTATAATAAGGATGGATTGCACTAGAGAGGTGTAGAAGAGATTTACCATCAGAACAGATCAGCCTGTTGATTGGCACCTGAGCTACCACCTTTAACCTTCAATCACTCAACTGTTAACACTCAGTAGAAGCAGTGTTTACTATGTACAAGATGTGCTGCATTACTAAGGCTCCGAGATAGCAACTCCCAAACCCATGTCTACTACCAGCTGGAAGGACAAGGACATTGGAAGACCACTTCCTGCAAGACCCCTCCAAGCCACTCCCCATTCAGATTTGAAAATATAAGGCCATAAGACATAGGAGCAGAAGTAGGCCATTTAGCCAATCTTGTCTGCTCTGTTATTCAATGAGATGCCGATTGATCGGATAACCTTCAATTCTATTTTCCTGTCTTTTTTGCAAAATCCTTGATTCCCTTACTGGTTAAAAATCTCTCTATTTCAGCCATGAAAATACTTAATAACCAAGCCTGGACAGCCCTCTGTGGTAAAGAATTCTGCAGATTCACTACCCTCAAAGAAGAAATTCCTCATCAATTTTAAAAGTGCAACCCTTTATTCTGAGATTACGCTCTGCAGCTCGTGACTCTCCCAAAAGGGAACACAACCTCTCCACATCTACATAATCTAGTCCCCTAATAATCTTGCATGTTTCAATATGTTTGCTTCTAATTGTTCTACATTCCAATGAGTACAGGTCCAACCTAGTCAGCCTCTCCTCATAATGCAGTCCCTCAATACCTGATATCAGCCCACTGTACCTTCTCTGGACTGCCTTCAGTGCAAGTGTATCTTTCCTTTGATAAGGGATCCAAAACTGTTCAGAACATTCCAGCCGTGGAATGACTAGTGTCATGTATAACTTTAGAAAACCCAGTCTAATCTTATACGCCATTTCTTTTTAAATAAAGATCAACATTCCATTTTCTTCCATATTACCCACTGAACCCAGATGCTAGCTTTTTGTGATTCATAGAGAAGGACTCCTAAATCCTTCTGTTCTGTAGCTTTCAGCAGTCTAACTCCATTAAAATAATGTTCACCTAGATTCATACAGCACAGAAAATGCCCTTTGGCCCATCAAGTCTGCACTGACATAGGTACCACTAAAAGTTGGCTAAATCCAATTTCTTGCACTTGTTCCATATCCTTGAATTTTCTGATATTTGAAGTACTCATCCAAATAAGGTTGTAAGGTTTCCAGCCTCCACTACCTTCCCAAGCAGTGCATTCCAGATTCCCACCTCCTGCTCAGTGAAAAAGGTTTCTTTCTCAAATCCCCTCTGAATCTCCTGCCCATTACCCAAAAAATATGCTGTTTTGTGATTGCCCCCTCAACCAAGGGGAACAGCTGCTCTCTATTCACCCTGTCCATACCCCTCATAATCTTATAAATCTCAATAGCAGTGGCTCTAAAGAAAACAATCCAAGCCTACCTAGTCTCTTCTTATAGCTCAACTTCTCCATCCCAGGCAACAAGGTGGTGAACCTGCTCTGTACATCCCGTCATAAGGTTACCCGAACAGCATACAGTACTCCAGTTGTGGCCTCACTGTTGCTCTGTACAACTCCAACATTACTTCCTTGCTCTTATACTCTATGCCATGACTGATGAAAGCAAGTGTCCCATATGACTTAGCTTCCTAGTCATGTGCTCTGCCAACTTCAGGGATTGTGAATAATTACTCAAAGTTCCCTGTGTTTCTCTAAGCTACCCAGTGTCTTACCATTCATTAAATACTCCCTCATCTTGTTTCTTCTTTGAAAGTGCATCACTTCTCACTTATCAGGGTTAAAAGCAATTTGCCACTGTCTGCCCATCTGGCCAACCCATCTATATTTTCCTTTCACCTACAACCATCTTCTTTGTTATTAACCACTCTACTAATCTTAGCGTCATCTGAAAATTTGCTTAACAGACCCCCCGCCCCCTACATTTTCATCTATATCATTTATGTATGTAACAAACAATAAGCATTCCAGTACTGATCCTTATGGTACTTTACTGGACACTGGGCTCCCGTCACTCAAACAGCCTTCTACCACTACCTCTTGTACCCTATTACTAAGCCAACTTCTGATATATCTCACTAAGTGTCCCTCAATTTCATGCACTTCAATATTCTCAAGCAGTCTCCCAAGTGGGACCTTTTTGTCAAAAGCTTTGCTAAAAATCACATCAACTGAAATTCACTCATCCACACACTTGGTCATATTTTCAAAAGGTTCTAACAAGTTAGTTAGGCATGACCTCCCTCTGACAAAGCTATGCTGACCATCCCTAATTAACCCATGGCTTTCCAAGTACTTATTAATTCACTCCTCCAGAATTTTCTCCAATAGTTTCCCTACTACTGACATTAGACTCACTTGGTTCATCTCAACCACCCCTCCTGGAAATTGGAACCACATCAGTAGTCCTCCAGAGGAATTTAAAAATTTGTGTCAGCCCCTGCAATTTCCTCCCTCTCCTCCTACAGCAATCTGGGATGCAAATCGTCCGGGCCAGGGGATATGTATGATTTTTAAGCACAACAGAACCTCCAATACCTTCCCATTTCCTATGTCAAACTGTGCAAGTTCCTCACAATCCCTTTTCCTGAATTACGTACTTAATTCACCTCCTGTATTCTTCCTGCCAAAGTTCATTACCTTACATTTTCCCAAATATTCCATTTGCCAATGTTTTGCCCACTTACTTAACCTGTCTACATCTCTTGGCACACTGCATGCGTCATTATCACCAGTTTCTATATTTGTGTCATCTGCAAACTTGGCTAGAGTACATTAACTTTCCTCATCCAAGTCATTAATACATATTGTAAATACTTGTGCACCCAAGTGCTGATTCCTGTGGCACACCATTATTTACAGATTTCCAACCCCATCTCTCTGGCTTCTATTAACATTTTAGAGATATATTGCTGTTCTTATAGTATCCTTGGTTCAAAATCCTGGAACTCCTTCTGTACTGACATTGTGGGTGTACCTGCACTAAACAGGGAGGCAGGGGAGGCGATGACCTAGTGGTATTATCATTGGACTGTTAATCCAGAGACCCAGATAATGTTCTGGGGACTCAGGTTCAAATCCCACCATGGCAAATGGTGGAATTTGAATTGAATAAATATCTGGAATTAAGAACTGAAAGGTGACCATGAATCCATTGTCAATTGTTAGGAAAAACCCATCCGGTTCACTAATGTCCTTTAGGGAAAGGAACTGTCATCCCCACCTGGTCTGGCCTATATGTGACTCCATACCCACAGCAATGTGGTTGACTCTTAAATGCCCTCTGGGTAATTAGGGATGGGCAGCAAATGCTGCCTAGCCAGTGACGCCCTCATCCTGTCAAAGAATAAAGGAAACGGACTGCAATGGTTCAAGAAGGCACCTCATGCCACTTTTTAAAGGGACAATTCAGGATAAGCAACAAATGCCAATTGTACAAAGTACTCTGTAACCAGCAATGTTTCATATCAGGCCAAGTTATCCTTTTTTATGATTTTAACACAATAAGCCCTCAGCCCTGCACCTGGGTGGCTCTCTCCACCATTCCAGAGGGTCTTGACTCCTATGCAGGAGGAAAGCTTTGCCACTAAAGTTGTAACCACAATTTCATTCTTAAAATTGCCGTCTTAAATTCTCATTATAGTTGATTGTATAGAAATTCACACAGATAAATAATTGGGATTTGAACCCATGTCCGCAGTACCATAAGTTCTGAGAGTCACATCGAACTCGAAATGTTAATTCTGTTTGTGTCCACAAATGCTGCCAGACCTGCTGAGTTTTTTTTTGCAGCATTCTCTGTTGTATGCTTCAGATTTCCAGCATCTGCAGTATTTTGCCTTTATCCACAGTGCTTTCCTGGTTCAGGAGTTTGAATCCCGTCATATCGCCCCTCTACCACTGTCTCAATCAGTCTTATGTTTCCAGTTCTAAAAAAGGATCACTTGACCCGAAACGTTAATTTTGTTTTCTTCTGCGCAGATACTACCAGACCGACTGAGTTTTTCCAGCGATTTCTAATTTTGAGTCTTTCCCTTCGACAAACAGCAGGAGGGACTGCGCATGAGTAGCTGTGGTGTTCCGTGCTGAGCATGCGCAGCTCTCGCGAGGAACGGCGCGTTCTGAGTATGCGCAGAGGGAGCCGCAGCGCCCATATTCGGCAGGCCGCAGCGGGTAAGAAGGAAATGGAAAAATCAATCAATCAATCAGTTAATCAATAATTCAATCATTTCCGGGGTCCGGAGAGGGCTACTTAAAGCCAGAACAGAATGAAAAGAATGGATAAATCAGCCCGTCTGGAAACTCGTCCTTAACTGGAGATTAAATGGGGTTGCATTAGGGAGCGTCTGTAACTTCAGGGGAAATGGAGACTGGGGTCAGGGAGCGTCTCTAAATGCAGCGGATAGGAGTTAGGGAGCAGTGGAAATGGAAATTGGAGTCAACGAATGCGTATTAGTATAGACAAATTGACACTGGGTTCAGGGAACGCCTGTAAAGGCAGGGAAATGAACTCTAGGGTCTGTAAATGCATCTAATCCCAGGATGAGGCATTCCACTCCCGTACGTCTCAGATGCCCTCGTTTTTCAAGGATCACAACTTACCCCGCCTCAGTGGTCGAGAACGCCCTCGACCGTATCCCCCGCATTTCCCGCAAATCATCCCTCACACCCCGTCCCCGCAATAACAACCAAAAAAGAATCCCCCTCGTCCTCACGTACCAGCCCACCAACCTCCGGATCCAACACATCATCCTCCGATACTTCCGCCATCTGCAATCCGACCCCACCACCAAAGACATTTTTCCCTCCCAACCCTTATCTGCTTTCCAGAGGGACCACTCTCTCAGTGACTCCCTTGGCCGCTCCACACTCCCCTCCAGCCCCACCACACCCGGCACTTTTCCCTGCAACCGCAGGAAGTGCTACACCTGCCCCTTCACCTCCCCCCTCACCCCCATCCCAGGCACCAAGAAGACTTTCCACATCAAGCAGATGTTCACCTGCACATCTGCTAACGTGGTATACTGCATCCGCTGTACCCGTTGTGGCCTCCTGTACATCGGGGAAACCAAGCGAAGGCTTGGGGACCGCTTTGCAGAACACCTACGTTCGGTTCACAATAAACAACTGCACCTCCCAGTCGCGAACCATTTCAACTCCCCCTCCCATTCCTCAGACAACATGTCCATCCTGGGCCTCCTGCAGTGCCACAGCGATGCCACCGGAAGGTTGCAGGAACAGCAACTCATATTCCACTTGGGAACCCTGCAGCCCAATGGTATCAATGTGGATTTCACAAGCTTCAAAATCTCCCCTCCCCCTACCACATCCCAAAACCAGCCCAGCTTGTCCCCGCCTCCCTAACCTGTTCTTCCTCCCACCTATCCCCTCCTCCCACCTCAAGCCGCACCTCCATTTCCTACCTACTAACCTCATCCCACCCCCTTGACCTGTCCGTCCTCCCTGGACTGACCTATCTCCTCCCTACCTCCCCACCTCCCCACCTACACTCACCTTTACTGGCTCCATCCCCGCCTCTTTGACCTGTCTGTTTCTTCTCCACCTATCTTCTCCTCTATCCATCTTCTATCCGCGCCCCCCTCTCTCCCTATTTATTTCAGAACCCCCTTCCCCTCCCCCATTTCTGATGAAGGGCCTAGGCCCGAAACATCAGCCTTCCTGCTCCTATGATGCTGCTTGGCCTGCTGTGTTCTTCCAGCTCTACACCTTATTATCTCACTAACTTTCCTTGTGCGTGTGGTTTTGCCACTGTTGTCTTTGCACTCTTGTGTTCGTCAGGCATAAAACAGTTTTTGTAGTTAACCTATTCGCTCTTCGAATGTTTGCCATTTCCAATTCACTGTCAAAGAACAAAACAGCACATGAAGAGGTCATTTGGCCCTCTAAGCCTGCGCTGACACATTTTCCCCTTCCACACTAAAACTGTCTTCACTTACAGGGTCCATATCTATTGCCTTCCTATTCATGTATTTGTCCAAATACCTGTTGAATACTGCTATTGTGTCTGCTTCCACTACCTCCTCTGGCAATGTGTCCCAGGCATTCACCACCCTTTGCGTGAAAAACTTGCCCCGCACATCTCTTTTAAACTCCCCCTCTCTCCCCCTTCGCTGACTAATTGACCGTTGTACCCAGGAAAAAGCCTCGTACTTTCCACTCTGTCCATGCCATTCACAATCTTATAAACTCTATCAGGTCACCCCTCAACCTTCTGTGTTCCAGTGAAAACAAACCCAGTTTATCCAACGTTTCTTCATAGCTAAAATCCCCCATAATAGGCAACATCCTGGTAAACGTTTTCTGTACCCTCTCCAAAGCATCCAAATCCTTTTAGTAGTGTGATGACCAGAAATCTACTTAATATTCCAAGTGTGGTCTAACTAAAGTTCTATGAAGCTGCAGCATAACTTGCCTATTCTTATACTCAAAGCCCCTTCCAATGAAGGCATCATGCCGTAAGCCTTTTTTACTTCCTTATCTATGCACTGCCACCTTCAGTGATCTGTGGACTTGCACAGCCAGAATCGTTTGCGTATCAATACTCCTAAGGGTTCTGCCATTCATTATATGATTTCCAACTGTGCTTGACCTTCCAAAATGCATCACCTCATATTTGTCTGGATTAAGCTGCTTCTCCATCTGATCTATATCCTGCTGTATCCTTTGATGATCCTCCTCACTATCGACAACGCCATCAATCTTTGTGCCGTCCGCAAACTTACTAATTAGACCAGCGTGTTTTCTTCCAAATCATTTATGTAGACCACAAACAGCAGAGATCCCAGCAATAATCCCTGGGGAACACCACTAGTCACAACCCTCCATTCTGAAAAGCATCCTTCCACCACTACACTCTGTGTCCTCTGACTAAGCCAGTTTTGTATCTATCTTACCAGCTCACCCCGATACCATGTGACTTAACCTTTTGTACCATTCTGCAATGAGGGAACTTGTCAAAGGCTTTACTACAGTGCATGTAGAGAACATCAACCACTTTTCCCTCATCAATCATTTAATTTTAAATGCATATTGATCTTGTCCCTGAGAATCTTTTCTAATAAGCACTAGTGATACTCGGGAGGGTTTAAACTACAATGACAGGGGACTGGGAACGAAAACAGCATGTCAGCAATGGAGGAATTGAGGGGAAGGTAGATGTTAGGATGAGTAAATCAGAAAAAGACAGGCAGAGACTGGTGATTGAATATGATAGTACCAATGGGCTGAATTGTGTTTATTTCAATGCAAGGAGTATCATGGGTAAGGCAGACCAGCTTAGAGTTGGATCAGTACGTGGGACTATGATGTTGTGGCCATTACAGAGACTTGGTTGAGAGAGGGACAGAACTGGCTGCTCAGCGTTCCAGGGTTTTGTTGTTTTGGACAAGATAGAAAGGAAGGTAAAAGTGGTGGAGGAGTTTAAGGTTCTTGTAAAGAGTTGTAGCTCAGGTTGTGTGTGAGGTTGTTGACTTGTTCGCCGAGCTGGCTGGTTATAGTTCAGACGTTTCGTTACCATGCTAGGTAACATCATCAGTGCAGCCTCTCATGAAGCGATATTGTTCTACTCCGCTTAGTATTTATATGATCCAGTCTGTTGAGGTGTTTTGTGTCATTTCTGGTTCTTTTTTGCAAGCGTTTGTATATGGGGTCTAATTCCACATGTTTATTGATTGCATTATGTCTGGAGAACCAGGCCTCTTGGAATTTCCGTGCGTATCTATGGTTGGCTTGAACTAGGATGGTCATGTCGTCCCAGTTAAATTGATGGCCTTCGTTGTCCAAGTGCACTGAAATGAGGAAAAGTTTGTTGTGTCGTTTTGCCGCTAGCTAGTGTTCGTGTATCCTGATAATTAATTTCCTTTCTTTCCGGCCGATGTTTTTGGCAGTTCTTGCATGGGATTTTGTACAGTACGTTGGTCATGGGTATGGGGTCTTTGGTCCTTGCGAGTGTTTAGCATAGTGTGACTGTGGGTTTTTGTGCTCTCCTGATTCCTAGTAGTCGTAGGAGTCTCATCGTCAGTTCCAATATGTTCTTGACATGTGGTAGTGTGGCCAGTGTATTAGGGTGTATTGTGTCCTCCTGGTGTTGTCTATCTGCAGATGTATTTGGTGGGGTATCCATTAATAGTGAAAACCTTGTATAGGTGCTCTTCCTCCTGCTTGCGAAGTTCAGGTGTGTTGCAGTGGGTTGCGGCCCATTTGAACACGATTCAATTTAACTGGGATGACATGGCCATCCTAGCCCATGGCAACCATAGATACACATGGGAATTCCTGGTGCTCCACCCGTAACACAATCAATAAGCATGTGGAATTAGACCCCATATACAAACCCTTGCAAAAAAGAATCGGAAATGACACAAACATCTCAACAGACCGGATCGTATAAATACTAAGCGGGGTGAAACAACATTGCTTCATTGGAAGCCTCACTGATAGTGTTACCTAGCTTGGTGGCGAAACATCTGAACTATAACCAGCCAGCTCAGCGAGCAAGTCAACAATCTTAAGTGGAAGAGTTGCATTACTAATCAGGGAAAATGTTATGTCTGCACTCAGAGAGGACATGCTTGAGGGCTCATCCACTGAAGCAAATGGGTGGAGCTTAAAAATAAGATGGGTGCAATCACTCTGATAGGATTATGCCATAGGCCCCACAATATCCACCGAGACATTGAGGAACAAATATGTAGGCAGATTATGGAAAGGTGCAATAAAAACAGAGTTGTCATAGCGGATGACTTTAATAACCCCAATATTGACTGGTACTCACTCAGAGCAAGAGTCTTAGACAGGGTTGGAATTTGTTAAGTGCATTCAAGAGAGTTTCTTGAGACAGTATATGGATAGTCCAACGAGAGGAGGGGCCATTTTGGACCTTGTACTTGGCTAATGAGCCTGGTCAGGTGACTGACCTTTTAGTTGGATGGCATTTTGGAAAAAGTGATCACAACTCCTTAAGTTTTAAGATAGCTATGAACAAAAATAAGTCAGGACCTTTCGGGAATTTCTAAACTGGGTGAGGGCAAATTACGTCAGTATTAGGCAGTATTAAGTAGGGAATGTTAATTGCGAGGAGCTGTTATTAGGTAAGTCCACATTTGACATATGGGAACTGTTTAAAGACCTTCAGGGGAAAGTTCAAGACTGGCATGTTCCAGTAAGGAGGAAGGACAAGGATGGCAAGGTAAGGGACCATTGAATAATGAGGGAGGTTGTCAATTTAGTCAAAAGGACAAAAGAAGCATATGTGGGTTTAGGAAGCTAAAATTGGAGGGGGCCCGTGAGGAATATAAGGAGAGCAGGGAATAAGGAGAGCAAGAAAGGGCCACGAAATGACCTTGGCAAGTATGGTTAAAGAGTATCCCAAGGCATTCTATAGACACAGTAAAAATAAAAGGATAGCTTGGGAGAAGGTAGGACACTCAAGCATAAAGGAGGGAACTTGTGCTTGGAGGCAGAGAATGTGGGCAAGATCCTAAATGAACAATTTGTGTCAGCATTCACCACGGAGAAGGATATGGAGGGTACTGGGATTTGTGTGGAGCATGCAAATGTGGTAGGGCATTTTGAGATCAAGAAAGAAGTGATGTTTGGTCTCTTGAAGAGCATTAAGGTGGATAAGACCCCAGGGCCTGATGGTATCTACCCCAGGTTATTGAAAGAGGCAAGTGAGGTAATTGTTGGGGCCTTGACCAAGATCTTTGTATCCTTGCTAGCCACTGGGGAGGTCCCAGAGGACTGGCAAGCAACTAATGTTGTTCCTCTGTTCAAGAAGGGAAATAGAGATAATCCAGGAAACTACAGACTGGTGAGTCTGACATTGGTGGTTGGGAAGCTATTGGGGAGAATTCTTAGGGATGGGATTTACGCACATTTGAAGAAGCATGGGCTAATTAGGGACAGTCAGCATGGCTTGATGTGGGGCAGGTCATGTCTTACCAACTTGATTGAATTTTATGAGGAGTTGAAGAAGGTGATCAATGAGGTAGAGCAGTGGATGTCATTTACATGGATTTTAGTAAGGATTTCGAGAAGGTCCCTGAAGGTAGGCTCAACCAGAAGATTTAGATGCATAAGATCCACGGTGACTTGGCTGCATGGATTCAGAATTAGCTTGCCTGTAGAAGACAGAGTGTAGTGGTGGAAGGGTCTGAGGAAGGGTCACCGGACCCGAAATGTTAACTCTGCTTTTCCTTCACAGATGCTGCCAGACCTGCTAAGCTTTTCCAGCAACTTCGTTTTTGTTGTTGTTGTAGTGATGGAAGTGTGTTTTTCAAGAGGTTCATGACTAGTGGTGTTCCACAGGGATTATACTTGGACCTCTCTTGTTTGTGATATATATAAATGACTTGGGTGAAAATGTAAATGGGTGGATTAGTAAGTTTGCAAACGATACAAAGATCGGTGGATTTGTGGATAGTGTAGAAGGTTGACAAAGGATTCAGCAAGATACGGATCAGTTGCAGATGTGGGAGGAGAAATGGCAGATGGAGTTTAATCCGGGTAAGTGTGAGGTGCTTCATTGTGGGAGATCAAATGTTAAGGAAAAATATACAGTTAATGGCAGGACCCTGAACAGCACTGTTGTACAAAAGCATCTTGAGGTTCAAGTCCATAGCTCCCTGAAAGTGGCCACACAGAAAGAAAGGATGGTAAAGAAGGCGTATGGCATGCTTGCCTTTATTGGTTGGGGAACTGAGTACAAGAGTCAGGATTTAATGTTGCAGCTTTATAAGACTTTGGTTAGTCCACACTTAGAGTATCGTGTTCAATTCTGGCTGCCACATTACAGGAAGGATGTGGAGGTTTTGGAGAGGGTGCAGAAGAGGTTTAGAGGGTATGAGCTATAAGGAGAGGCTAGGAAAATAGAGGTTGTTTTCTCTGGAGCTGTAGGAGCTGGGGGGAGACTTGATAGAAGTCTATAAAGTTATGAGATGCATAGATAGGGTTGATGATCAGAATCTTTTTCCCAGAGTTGAAATGTCTGAAACCAGGGGGCATGCATTTAAGGTTAGAGGGACTAAGTTCAAAGAAGACATGAGGGGCAAGTTTTTGACACAGAGAGTGGTAGGAGTCTGGAACGTATTGCCATGGTGGTGGTGGAGGTAGATATGATAAGGGAATTTAAGGGACTTTTAGATAAGCAAGGATATGCAACGATTGGAGGGATATGGACAAAGGGCAGGCAGAAAGGATTAGTTTCATTTGGCATCATATTTGGATAACGTTGTGGGTCGAAGGGTCCGTTCCTGTGCTGTACAATTCTATGTTCTATGTTCTAATTTCGCTACCACCGACATGAGGCTCACAGGCCTGTAATTTCCTGGATTATCCCCGCTACCCTTCTTAAACAATGGGACAACATTGGCTATTCTCCAGTCCTTGGGACCTCATCTGTGGCCAAAGAGGATGCAAAGATGTCTGTCAATGCTCCAGCAATTTATTCTCTTGCCTGCATTAATATTCTGTGATAGATCCTGTCAGGATCCAAGCGCTTATCTACCTTAATACTTTTTAAGAAGCACAAACCTCTTCCTTTTTAATAGCAACTTGGCTTAGAAATTCGGGTTTCCTGAGACCACCTTCCACCAATTCCTTCTTTTTGGTGAATACCGACACAAAGTATTTGTTTAGGACCTCATCTACCTCATCGGCCTCCACACATAAATTTTCTCCTTTGTCCTTGAGTGGGCCAACTTTTCCCTGGCTACCCTGTCATTCCTTTCAGTAATGTTTTCCAATCCATCATAGCCAATTCAGGCCTCATACCAGCATAGTTTCTCTCATTAAGATTCAGGACCCTGGTCTCAGTATCAACGCTTTCACTCTCCATCTTGATAAAGAATTGTATCATAGTATGATTGCTCATCCCCAAGGGGTGTCTCACAACTATATTATCCCTTTCTCATTGCATAACACCAGTCTAAGATGGCCTGTTCTGTAGTTAGTTCCTCAATGTATTGATCCAAAAAAAACTTCCCATTTACACTCCAGGAATTCTTCCTCTATAGTATTGTGACTAATTTGATTCACCCAATCTATATACAAATTAAAGTTTACAGATAATCCTTTATGCATCTCTGATTGAGGGCCCTGTTGACAACGGCCCTCAATCGGGTCCGACCCATCTCCCGCACTTCTGCCCTCACCCCTTCTCTTCCCGCAACAGTGATAAGGTTCCCCTTATCTTCGCCTACCATCCCACCAGCGTCCACATCCAGAAGATCAACAGACGCCATTTCCGCCACCTCCAGCAAGATGCCACCACCAGACACATATTCCCCTCCCCTCCCTTGTCCGCCTTCCACAGGGACCGTTCCCTCCGGGACACCCTGGTCCATACTTCCTTCACCCCTAACACCTCCCCACAGCCCTACGGCACCTTCCCCTGTAACCGGCGAAGGTGCAACACCTGCGCATTTACCTCCTCCCTCCCAGTATCCAAGGGCCCAAACATACCTTCCAGGTGAAGCAACACTTCACCTGCACTTCCAAGAGTCTAGTCTACTGCATTCGCTGCTCACAATGTGGTCTCCTCGTAGACTTGGCGACCGCTTCGCAGAACATCTACGTTCTGCTCGCAAAAAAGACCCTGAACTACCTGTTGCCTGCCACTTCAATGCACCACCTTGCTTCCTGGCCAACATCTCTGTCTCCGGCTTGCTACAGTGTTCCAGTGAAGCCCAGCGCAAGTTGGAGGAACGACACCTTATTTTCCGCCTGGGGACCCTACAGCCCTCCAGACTCGATATTGAGTTCAATAATTTTAGGACCTAAACTCTCCCATGTCCCAGCCCCCCCACTCCACACACCAGCCCTTGTTACCACATAGCCTGCCACTACACACCCCCTGTTGTTAGTCACTAACAGTCCCCATTAACAACTATTCACCCTCCCAGCCTGATCGTTAGCAACTCCTTTGTCTGTCCAACTGTCTTTCTCTCTCTTTGGGCTCTATCCTATCGTTTACTCCCTATTCCACCCACCTCCCTATTTTCTGCATATAAACTGACGTTTTCCCAGCCACCATCAGTTCTGAGGAAGGGTCACCGGACCCGAAACGTTAACTCTGTTTTCTCCTCCACAGATGCTGCCAGACCTGCTGAGCTTTTCCAGCAACTTTGTTTTTGTTCCAATATTTTTCCTTAATTTGTAGTGGGATATTTGGAACTCTCTGCCTTGAATGGTAGTTGAGTCAGGAACACTTTGACATTTAATTAATATTTAAGTATTGACTTGTGTTGGACCAAGAGCTGGAAAATGAGATTAATGTAGTCAGCACTTTATTGACTGGTGTGAATGAAGTGGGCCAAATGGCCACCTCTTGTGGTCTAAGTGCCTGAGTCTATGAATCAGAGAGGGTCAAAATGAACATAGTCCATAGGCAGCTTCAGGCAAGATAGAGAGGAAGCAGTGAGTGTGGAAGTGAACCAAGCTCTGGAAAGAGGGTCGAAGGGAATGTAGGATGTATTTATGAAGATGTGAAAATGTAGATTTCCACACGCGGAGAGGGGAGAGTGTGCAAGATCATGTTTTACAGCTTTCAGGGTACAAACAGGTTATTACCTGTTCTGAATTCTGTCCTTTCCTCACAATGAAGATATTTTTTGACTTTTTCAGGAAATTGGAAAGGAAGTACTTGATGACAGGGAAACTGCAACCAAATATTATGCCTGCGTCTGACAGTCACTCAATTCATCAGGACTCAGGATTGTCGATCTTTGATTGTGGAGAAGAAAGGCTTGTCTATTGGTAAAGGTTTCAATCGTCAGTGTGCATGGAACAGCACTGAGTGAGAATGTTCCAGTCCACTGACTGTGGAAAGAGCTTTAACCAGTTACTCAGCCTGTGATAAATCATTCGCAGCCGGGGAGAGACCAGATACGCGTTGTGTTTGAAACTTCAACTGATCATCCAACCTGGAGAGACACAAGGGTGCAGGTCCCACGGAGAAGCCGTGGAAATGTGGGGACTGTGGAAAGCAGTACAGGTCTCCATCCCTTCTGGAAATTCACCGACGCAGTCATACAGGGGAGAGGCCATTCATCTGCTCCCAGTGTGGGAAGGGATTCACTCAGTCGTCTGGTCTGTATAAGCACCAGAGAACGCATTCTGGGGTGAAACCATACAGCTGCCCCGAATGTGGGAAGCGATTCGCTCAGTTAGCCCACCTGCGAACACACCAGCGGATTCACACAGACGAGAAACCCTTTAACTGCTGTGAATGTGGGGGCTGGTTTAAAACCTCTGAAGAACTGACTACACACCAGTTGATTCACACTGATAAGCCATTTTGCTGCTCTCAATGTGGCGAGAGGTTCCAACAATCCTCTGAGCTTCTCGGCCATCAGTGGGTTCACACTGGGGAGAGGCCGTTCACCTGTTCTGTGTGTGGGCAGGGATTCATTCAGTCCTCAGACCTACGGGCACACCAGCGTGGGCATGCCAAGGAGAGTCCATATATCTGCTCTGAGTGTGGAACGAACTTCATGAATGCTCCCAAACTGCTGCGACACAAGTGGGTTCACTCCGAGGAGAAACCATTTAATTGCTCCGTGTGTGGGAAAGGATTCATTTACCCTTCGCTGCTGGAAAGTCACATACGCAGCCATACCGGTGACAGGCCGTTCATCTGCTGGAGATGTGGGAAGGGATTCACTCGGTTGTCCAGTTTGCAGATACACCAACATGTCCGTACAGGCGAGAGACCTTTTAAATGCTCTGGTTGCAGAAACACTTTTAAAAACTCAGCAGAACTGATTAAGCGCCGATGATCTCAGACAGATGAAAAACCATTTCCGTATTCCCACTGTGGAAAGAGATTTAGGCAGTCTTACCATCTTGCCATGCATGAGCAAGTTCATACCGGGAAGTCTCCATTCGCCTGCTCAGTGTGCAGGAAGAGATTCACTCACTCCTCAAACCTGCTGATGCACCAACGCATCCATGACAGGGAGTGGCCGTTCTCCCGCATCGATTGTGGGAAGGAATTTAGTAAGACGTGCAGGCTCCTAAGGCACCAGGGCATACACACCAGGGAGCGGCCGTACACCTACTCCGAGTGTGGAAAGGGTTTCACAAATTCATCCGATCTTCTCGCTCACCAGCGCACTTGCACTGGGCAGAGGCCATTCACCTGTTCTGAGTGTGAGAAAGGGTTCAGCCATACATCCAGCCTTCTGTGCACCAGCGGATTCACACCAGGGAGACACTATTCGCTTGCTCGGTGTGTGGCAAGGCATTCATTCAGTCAACCCATTTTCAGAGGCACCAGCAGGTTCACCAGCAACTGCAGGGGTTAGATTTTGCTGCTGTTGCTGCTGTTAATCATACCCAGATTGAATCAGGTTCAATCCAAAAGTTGAAGGAGATTGTTGCTACTGAAGTTAAGAATCCAGAGATCTGGAAAGCAGTTTATTGTAAAGGGCAAATAAAGCAGTCTGTTCTAAGTACTTATGTCTTTTTCAGGCAAGAAGAGGCAGATTGATAATCTGTTTTGATTTATCTCAGGACTTCCTATGGACAAGTCCATATCCCATTGGTTATATCTCTTGATAAGTCCAACTTCACGCACTTCTTCCATTTCCAGGATGAGGGATATAATGTGGTAAATTGTGAGGTTATGCCTTTGCCAGGAAGAATAAAGAAGCTGAATATTATTTAAACGGAGGAAGACTACATACAGCTACAGCATAGAAGATTTTGGAGATATTTGTGCATGAATCACACAAAGTTAGCATCCAAGTTCAGTGGGTAACCAGGAAGAATGCTGGCATTTTTTTCAAAGGGAATGGACTGTAAAAATGGGGAGGTATTTGTAAAATTAGGCATTAGTCAGACCACACCTGGAAAACTGCACAGTTTTGGTCCACATAAATAAGGAAAGATATACTGACATTGGAAACAGTTCAGAGAATGCTCACTAGGTTGTTACCTGGTATGGAAGGATTTTCTTATGAGAAGAGGTTGAATAGCTTGAGCCTGTGTTAGTTGGAATTTATAGGAGTGAGAAATAACCTTATTGAAAAATACAAGACTCTTAGGGGCTTGTCGGGATAAATGTGGAAAGGTTGTTTCCCATTGTGGGAGAATCTATTCTGTTTTACTGTGCGGGAAGCCCAATTAGAAGCAGCCACTTCTGTTGAAAGTCTGGCCTGTAGTTCACGATCAGACAGCCCACTAAGCTTGCAAATCTATCAAACATCTTCTGTCGTTGCTCCAATGGAATACTGCAGTCTCAGTTACTAGGACAACAATGTTCAAAGAAATCCATTGCCAGAATGTGACTTCTTTAACTATTCTATGAGCTTTCAATTTGCTCTTCATTTCAATGTTAAATATTTGTAGGGTTTTGCCAGCTTTCAGAGCTAGCTCTTTGCTTGCTAGGTTTATGATAATACTGCCGACAGATACTGGATGCACAATTGGATTTACTGAATCCTTCAGATCAATCACCATCACTTGTGCCTGTTCCCCCACCTTCTCCCTAGTGCATATGAAATTGTCTGATTCCATGGTAAGGGTACTGAATCCAATGTTGGCAGGATTCGGTCCTTGGTTTTGGAGCTACAGGTGCTCCTGGAAGTGGATGGATGTATTTGGGCCATTTTGCAGTTTGTGTGGAAGACCAAGGAAATGGGGAAATAATGGAGTGATCCCAGTAAAATTCAATGAGTGAAGAGCCTTGGCCACCCCCTCTTCCCTGTACTCAGTGAGTGGAACGAAACCCTTACTTAAGTTTTCACTAATCTTGTGGTCACTCTTGTTTTCAAACTGAACATCAAATCCCATTGCATTGTGGTCACTATTACATAGGAATGCCTTTACCCTGATATCTTGAATTGATCATGTCACATTTACACAATACAAAGTCTAATATAACAAGCTGCTCGGTCATTTTGAGAATGTGACGAAATAAGAAACTTTCTTAAAACCCTCTCATGAATGCCCCATCCAGGTTACTACTACAACCCTGATTCCAATTTAGATATAAATTAAAGTTATCCTTGCCTACCCTAATCACAAACACCATTATTTCCTCTTGTACAGTTTGCCCTAGACACGATCATCAGATCATAAGGAATAGAAATAAGAGTAGGCCCCTTGGTCCCTTGAGCCTGCTCTGCCATTCAATACGATCATGATTGATCTGACATTCCTCATGTCCACTTTCCTGCCTTTTCCCCATAACCTTTGATTCCCTGACTGATCAAGAATCTTTTTATTTTAGCCTTAAATGTACACAAGGACTGTGCCCACACAGCACTCCATGTTAAAGAATTCCAATGACTCACAATCCTTTAGAGAAGAAATTCCTCTTCTCTGTGTTAATTTAGCGCCTTTTACTCTAAGACTATGCCTTCTGAACCTATACTCTCTAATGAGTGTAAACATTCTCTCAACGTTTACTCTGTCAAGCGCCTATAGGATGCTATATGTTTCAATGAGTTCACCTCTCATTGTTCTAAACTCCAGTGAGTAGAGTCCTAATCTGTTGAGCTTTTGCTCATAAAATGATCCTTTCATACTGAAGATCATCCTAGTGAACCTTCTCTGAACTGTCTCCAATGAAACAATATATTTTCTTAAATAAGTGGACAAACCTGCTCACAGTAATCCAGATGTAGTCTCACCAGCACCCTGTAACAGTTGCATAAGACTTCCTTAGTTGTATTCTCCAACCTTTTTGAGATAAGGACCAACATTCATTAGTCTTCCTAATTACCTCCTGCATCTATATGGTAGCTTTCTGTGTTTCATGCATAAGTATCCCCAAGTTCCTTTATTTTGCAGTTTCTGCAGCTTTTTTCCATTGAAATATACTGTTACTTGTTCTCCCTTCCAAAATAAACAACTTCAAATTTTACCACATTATACTCCATTTCCCATTTTTTTGCCCACTTATCAATATTTTACTGTGAACTATTTGTATCCCCCTTGCAGCTTGCCTTTCCACCTATTTTTGTGTCATCTGCAAATTTGGCTACATTTGTTTCCTTCCTCGAAGTCATTAAGATATATTGTGAACAGTTGTGGTTCCAGCATTGATCCCTGTGGAAACCTACTGGTAACAGGTTACAAACTTTAAAAAGAACTCACTCACTGTTTCCTGTTCGTTAACCAGTTCTCTAACATTGCCAAAATATTATCTCTAATTCAATGGGCTCTTATCTTATGATTTAGCCTTTATGTGAGGAACCTTGTCAAACACCTTCTTGAAGTTCAAATTCAACACATCTACTGATTCCACTTAATAAACTGTAATAAATTAGACACAATTTCCCTTTCATGAAACCATGCTGATTCTGCTTGATTAGATTACGATTTTCCAGAAGTGTTGCATTTAACTTCTTTAGTAATCAATTCTAAAAATGGATGTTCAGTTAATTGGTGTATAGTTACCCATTTTTGCGTCCATCCCGTTTTGAATAGGCATGTCACATTGGCAGGTTTCCAAATCTCTGCAACTTCTCCAGAACCTGAGGACTTGGAAAATTACAATCAATGCATCCACTATTTCTGTAGCTACTTCTTAGGATCGTCAGATTAGAGTCAGGGGACCTACCTGCCTTTAGCACCATCAGTTTGTCTAATACTACTTTCCAGTGATGGTGATGGTACTTTATTCCTCCCTCATATTCTTTAGTACAAATGGATGTTCGAAGCATCATCCACTCTAAAGACTGATGGAAAAAGGGTGGTATGTGCTCAGTGGTTAGCACTGCTGCTTTACAGGGTCAGGGACCTGGGTTCAATTCCATCCTCGGGCAACTGTCTGTGTGGAGTTTGCATGTTCCCCCCATGTCTGTGTGGGTTTCCTCCAGGTGCTCTGGTTTCCTCCCACAGTGCAAAGATGTGAAGGGTAGGTGAATTGGCCATGCTAAATTGCCCATAGTGCCCAAGGATGTTTAGGTTAGGTGGGGTTAGACATGGGGAAAATGCAAGGGTAGGGCAATGGGTCCAGTGGGATGCTCATCAGAGGGGCAGTGTGACTTGTTGGGCCAAATGACCTGTTTCCACACTGTAGAGATTCTATGATCTATTCTAAAATATTTGTTTAACTTCTCTGACATTTCCTTGTTGCTCATGACAATCTTTGACAGATCATGACAGATTCATATTCCAAGGGGCCTATGTGCTCTTTGACCTCACTCTTATTTTTCTTTACATTTGAAGAAGCTTTTATTGTCAGCTTTTATATTTCTCATTAGTTTCCCTTCATAATTTATTTTCTCTCTTTTTATTCTCTTTTTGGTCCTACTTTGCTGGATTCTTAATTTATCCCAGTCTTTGGGTCTGCCATTGACTTCTTCCTCCTTTTGTACTTTTCCTCTCAACTTTAAACACTCTTAACTTTCTTGGTTAGGATTAGTTAATTGTGGTTATTACTAGGGGGTCTGTAAACAACTTCCCTCTAGTGATGTCATTCACCCACTATTCTCTCTCCAGCTGAACCGATTCCACATCTTGACCTCCTGAAACAAGATCATCTCTAACTTTTGTACCAATGCTATCTGTGATATGTGGTACTACCCCTCCACAGTTACATGGCTTCCCATCTTTCTGGAATATGAGATATCCTTCAACATTCAGGATCCAATCCTTGTCATCCTGCATCCATTTCTCTGTAATGGCTACAGGATGATATTTATGTTCTTCAATGTGTGCTATCAATTAAGTTACTTTGTTATGAATGTTATGAACACTGAAATATATTGTCTTAGTTTTGTCTTTATAACAGCGGATCTCAACTGATGGTTTGTTCTGAGGTATTTTTGTTCTGTTCCTACCTGGTATTCTCATTTCTAATATTACTGTTATCCTGTCTTAACTTATTTCTCCTCTTTAATATAGCACAACTTTACACACTTGGTCCCATGCCTCCCAAATTTCATTCAAAACTTTGTTTACAACCCTCGTTGTGCATTCACAAGAACACTAGTTCTCACTAGTTCGCATGTGGTCTGCCCCGACAGAACTTGTGCTCAATGACTCTAACCCTTCTCCCAAACTAGACATCGAGAAGCACATTCATCTATGTAATTTCATATATCCTATGCCAATTTGTACCCATGTCAGGATATAATCTGGTGATTATAAGATTTGAGGTTTTCAATTTAGTGCCTTGCTCTTCATATTGTATAATCAGAAGCTCTTTCCTACTTTTACCAATCGCTTTATTCCATACATAGACTACATCAACTGATTCCCCTTCTCCTGATGCAAATTTCTTTCCTGCTTTTAACAGATGCCTAAAACCCAAATGTCAATGGGCATTCAAAGCAACTGTTTGCTGCAGAAG